GCTGTGGGTTGCAGCCTTGACATGCTCTGCACATGATGTACATAACTTTTCTTCTTACCTGAGCATGTGCAGAGTGCTTCAAATCTCAGCTTTAGTCTTCCCTTTCTTGTTCCTCCTTCATAAACTAGATTTTCTTTTCATTGTTATGTTAGTTGTTTGTTTACCTAAGCATTGTTCACTTGTTTACTGCTACCGAGATTACCTTAGTGAGTCAGTCTTATTTATGTTATATTACATTGTTCATGTTGTGTGACCTATTTAGGTGGCAGGTAAGGGAGAGGGAGGGAGGAGGAAGGGGCCCTCCACTATTATATTTTTTGCCCAGGGCCCACCAGAGCCTTGAATTAGCCCTGGCAGAGAGTACAATTATATTAATTATAACAATCTTGATTTACACCTTTTTGTAATTTGTGAAAATGAGGAGGATCGTCTAGCCACACATAGGTCAGGAATATTAACTTAGTTGCCATTGGGATCCAGAAGGCAAGACGTGGTCACTGAAGTGCCATCCATTCCCATAAAGGAGACAGAGAGAGAAGGGGAATACGGACTCACAATGACTCCAGAGGAAACAGACGAGTCCCTCCAGGGGGCAGAAGAGGCAATGACTCCAGAGGAAACCTCAGACGAGTCCCTCCAGGGGGCAGAAGAGGAAGAACTCTCCAAGAGCTTGAGGTGGATAGGAGTGAGGGAAGAACAGTTAAGAAAGGCGAGAAATGAAAGTAAGAAAAGGGAGGAGATAGAAGTAGGGGAGGGAGAAGAGACAGAGAAAGGAGAGTCATTGTCACCAGGTTGAGAATGGATCTGGCTGCAAGATCCTTGGATCCAGAAGGTGGGAGAGATATGAAGGTACCCCAAGGAAGAGGCCAACCATAGGAGAAGAATGGGGGTTCCCCCTAGACCAGTGGTGGTGAACCTTTTTGGTATTGAAGGTACCCCAGGGAAGAGGTCAACCATAGGAGAAGAATGGGGGTCCCCCAGACCAGTGGCGGTGAACCTTTTTGGGCCTGAGTGCCCAAACTGGGGGGAAAATAGTGGGTGGTGTGCTACGGCTTTGGCAGGACCAGAAGTGGCGGTGGAAGGGGGAATCCCTAGTGGGTGGTGTGCTATGGCTTTGGCAGGACCAGAAGTGGCATTGGAAGGGGGAATCCCAAGCACGGAGATGCCTCGAGACTCCACTCTAGATCCACCACAAATGCCAGCTGATCCTGATCTTGGCCCGCCGCCAGTTGAAATGCCAGCACCCTGGCTGCATCGCCTCCTGAAGTTTGGCTGCGGGGGGGGGAGGGGAGTAGCGATGTGGCGACTTACAGCTCGCGTGCCCGCAGAAAGGGATCTGTGTGCCAGCTGTGGCACATGTGCCATAGGTTTGCCATCACTGCCCTAGACCATCTTACTGAGGAGAAGCAGAAGTGAGAGTGGAAGAGGAGATTAAGAAAGTAGAGAGAAAGGGTGGGAAAGGAGCGAATGGCAAGCATGGGAAATGAAGAGTCAGAATGGAGAGAGTATGGGAAACGCTGGAACCCGGGGAGCGTCCTATGTGGGAAGATTTCATTGGAGATGCATTCGTGCCCCTGTTGCCTATACAGACGGGAACAACATTCAGAGAATGGTCACCGGTCAAGCAGCCAGGGCCGAAAGTAGAGAGAAAGGGTGGGAAAGGAGTGAATGGCAAGCATGGGAAATGAAGAAGAATCAGAATGGAGAGAGTATGGGAAACGCCGGAACCCGGGGAGCGTCCTAAGTGGGAAGATTTCGTTGGAGATGCATTCGTGACCCTGTTGCCTATACAGATGGGAACAACATTCAAAGAATGGTCACCGGTCAAGCAGCCAGGGCCATGGAGAGAAAGGGTGGGAAAGGAGTGAATGGCAAGCATGGGAAATGAAGAAGAATCAGAATGGAGAGAGTATGGGAAACGCCGGAACCCGGGGAGCGTCCTAAGTGGGAAGATTTCGTTGGAGATGCATTCGTGACCCTGTTGCCTATACAGATGGGAACAACATTCAAAGAATGGTCACCGGTCAAGCAGCCAGGGCCATGGAAGTCTAGTTAGGGTAACCCCTTCATTCTAGAAGATTTGAAGCCCCTTCCTGCCACGTTAGAGGGAGGTGAAAAAGACTTATGTTCCGGTTCCTGATAATTATTTAACAATTCAAAAATGAATGTTCCATCGTTACCACTGTAAATTGTATTGTGAAGTTACTGGAGATAAGGAAGAGCCACATGAAGTTCCTACTGAACCCTCACAGCCATACAGTAATTCAAGACTGGTATAACTTCCTGCTGCTGATATGTCAGCATTATAACACATATTCAGAAAGAATTATTTTCAGAATTAGTATGTAATCTTTTAATTCTTCACATCCTCAGCCACTTTATGCAAATTCTTCATATTTTCATTTCACCATATAGATAGGAAGCACTGCTTAGAACAGTGGTTCCCAACCTTGGGCAATCCAGATGTTACTTGACTGTAATTCCCAGAAACTCTGGCCAGCACAGCTAGTGGTGAAGGCTTCTGGGAGTTGTAGTCCAAAAACACCTGAGTATCCCAGGGTTGGGACTTGCTGGCTAAGGAGGATGCAAGGCTCTCTCAGTCCCACCACTCTTACAGGTGTGATGGGAGAGGGCCTTCTCTGTTGCTGCTCCCAGACCACAGAAGGCCATGCTAGCCCTATCTTTGCTGTCCTTCTGCAAGCAGCAAAGATTTTTCTCTTCAGGCAGGTTTTCCCTTAGTAACTAAGAAAGTAACTGATAGTTACTCCCTTAGTTACTGGCTGTCTGGGACTGGGTTTGTAAATGCATTGTTGTTCCATATTGCTTCTAAATGTATTTTTAGTATTGATCTTATTTACCATTTTAAATATAATATTCATTTAAGTCTTTAAAAATATTTATATACTTACTGTATTTGCTTTTAAATATTGTCCTTTTAATTATATTAGCCATCTTGGGTCCTTTTTAAGGAGAAAGGTGGGGTAAAAATATTTAAAATAAATTAATAAATAAAAGTACCATAAATGTTCAATGAATGCTTTATATAATGACACCATAGTGTGACTGGATTATTTAAATACAGTCCCCCCCCCCCAGTACTGCACTGGGCAGCAAATCAGAAGGTTCAACTCACAAGCTGTTTACAGAGCACAAATTGTTTCATGCAAGAGAAAGTCTTGGAAGGCAGAAAGATGACTCGTGAGTTTTTTAAGCAGAGACCTATCAGGAGCCCTTCCTATACCAGTGGACTGCCTGCAACAGCCATGTGTTTCAATTAGATGAGTGCCTTTCCAACTCAGTACTTCTTGTTTGGACAAACTAAGCTGAAATGTACTACTGTTTGCTCACTCTCTCTGACTGGTCTGATGGCTGTACAGATCACGAACATTCCAAGTGCTTCCAGCAAAGCAGGGAAAGCATGTATAGACATACATAAGGATTCCCAGTGTGGTGTGGTGGATGGAAAAATGGACTAGGACCCTGGAGAACAAGGTCTGAATCCTGCTCAGCCATGGAAACTCACTGGGAGAGTGGAATTTCCAAGATATTCCTTAAATATCTTGCTTACCTTGAAAGTCGGTTCTGACATGAGGGCATATCAAAGCAAGAGCAAAGCAAAGCATGCTGCTTATATACCGCCCCATAGTGCTTCAAGCACTCTCTGGGCGGTTTACAAGTTAATTATGCAGGCTACACATCCCCCCCCCCCCCGGCGGGCTGGGGTCCCATTTTACCCCCCGCGCAA